TGAAATTGGGGATTTTCGTTCCTCGAAGAGGACCGTCCTTTGTCCGCGGATCCTTGCGCGCCGCTACCTTTTATGGGGCTGCGTAATTTTTGAAAGAATAGCAAGCCGAACCGCGAAACAAAGAACGCGTTTCGTATTGAGTTTAACGTTTTCAGCAAAGAAACGACTTATTTTACGATTCGTTGTCTCGCTTTAATTTTATCCGATTGTTTACGGGTTTTTTTAACACTAGATTTACGGGCATTGATCGCACGTATATTTATTGATACCTTTTATGTTGACGATTACCTTAAAATACGATTTTTCTTTTAATTAGAATATGTATTCATGCCATCGCATCAAACAAATTCAACATAAGTTGTTGAAAAATAATATTTACGCGTTCTGCAATTTTAAATATGGAATCTGACATCTGACATATAGTGTTAAACGAAGAGTAGAAACTAGCAATTTCATAAGAAATTACTCGTATCGCGAATCCTGGGATATCGTCGTCGATTCAGAAAATTTTATACTGAACGATTTATCTTCACGCCAGTGTTCGTGTATTGCAGCTATAATATAAATGAAACGTGGCAAAGCATAAATATGAATTGTATACGAGGAAAATGGATATGCAAAAGCATCTTTTTATTATCCGCGGGGAATTATTTATCAATTTTCGCGGCGTGAACCTTTTCCCAAATGATTTTCGATTCTAAATATGTATCTTAAAATTGGTTGACGCACAGTGTTCGAAAACGACGATTTAGACGCGAAAAAGTCTCATTTTTTACCATCTTCAATCATTTTACTTCGAGTGTCATTAAGTTTGTAAATCCTTGAGAATCTTCGTTTGAAACATTATTTATCCTTAGAAATTGTTTAAATAGATTAATTTTTCTTGGAAATCTGTTTTTCCAGTTCATATTTCTCCTTCTAGAAAATAATGATATTACACCGATTTGTATAAATCTCGCACAGGAAGGTACACACTTTATTTTGGAATAAAAACAATTGATCAAAATTTATTATTATTTTAAATGCAGGTAATCAAAAAGAACCAATTTTAGTATGCAATTATCAGATTGGAACTCTGGTTTCTCTGAAAATCAGCTGCTACTTTTTGCTAATTTTTTAATAATATAACTTTAAAGTTAGCGAATCCTATTCTTATTATTCCTATTTTCTTCATTATTCACATACATTATATAATTCAAAATATCATGCAGCAGTGAAACTTTCATAATACATTCCCTTTTTTTCTTTATTTAAATAATTTAATTTTCATTTAACATAAAATAATATAAAAATTATTAAGCAAAATTAATGTTAAATGTGTTAATAATCGTTTATAAACTTGTTTTTAAGCATTTATGCATTTTTAAGGTGAAATATGATTTTTCTCGTCTAAATCGCAAAACAGGAAGACGTCGAATTAAATTTTTCCAACGATACTCTTCCTTTGATGTTATCGCGAGGCTCCTTTAAGGTACATCCGATTTCGCTTCACGAAACCGAGAACTGCCGCGTTGGAAATCTTCTGTATTTTATTAACGACGCGTATCGAACGTTTGCGAAACATCGAGCGACGCAGTATCTTACGTATTATTTAAACGTTCAACGAATGTTCACCTGTTTCCACAAGTTATTGTTCGTTTTAAAGACCGATAAAAACCGCGCTCGCGGGGGAGAGAAAGAAAACACACCGAAAGCTTTTAAAAATGAATTTCCACATTCTAATATCTCGACTGCGTGCACGATGCGAGGAAGTTTGCTTACAGAGTAAACAAGCACGCGCCGTTCGCTGTTTTTTTCCTCCAGCAGGATATACTCCCGGTGAAAAAACAGTTATTACACTCGGAAAATAATAATATTTGTACCTGTTTCGATGCACGGCCAATTTAGTTGATAAACCAAACATACCCGTAGCGAATTTCCCTCGCCTTATTTTTCGAGCTGATTGCACCCGGCGTTATCGTATTGCGCGCGTACGAAACGCTCCATTCCTTCCTAATGAACGTTCGGAAATTTTAATTTTCAATTCAAGCGAAATTACGGAAGATACAAGGGCCAACGCGAGCATAATTTACGTGATAATAACATGTTCAAGGATATTTGACCGGATATCAGTATCAAGGAGTCTCTCATCGAATCGACCCAAACTACTTCCGGGAACGGTTAATTCTACAGAGTTCACCGTAGCACTGATCCCGTAATCGCTTTAATCAACGGGTTCGAGATTCGCCGGGTGACTTTAAACGAGACCGACTATCGAGCATTAATTACTCTGAAAACACGAAACGAGCGCTCCCCGTTGAGCTCTAACCTCTTTCTGGGCATCGTTTCCCCGTTGTACGCACGCGATACCGTCGTCAAAGGCTCGAAGAGGGATCCTTACGCCGCCAATGCCGGCGAGAGGCTGGATAAAGCGCAGATATTGCGACGCCAGTGCGAACGTGGGAATCCACGGCTGCTATCCGCTCAGCCTCATTAATGATGATGTGCTTGCCACCCAGTTGCAGTTCCATTCTCTTTCTCTCTCTCTCCCTCTGACCCCTGGCAACGTACATCCACACACCCTCTACATATTTCAACGTGTATGCCCCGTGTCTACGCGAGACCCTGTCTTCGTCTGCGCCCCGTTCTCGCGATGTCTTGTCGACGAGACACGTGGAAGCTGACGCTCGGCCAGCCACCGCACGGTTCACCCTCCCGCGTTTCTCCACCCGGTGAATTCAACACCACCCTTCGGCCTCCTCGACCTACCTTGCCGCCCGTTCCGCCCCCCTCAACGGGAAAAATACAGCTCGTACATCTCGAACCAGGCCGTTCCACCCCCCGAAACTCAATTCCGCGCAGGTTGCCCCGGACTTTTTCGCTCCCACCGTTAAGTTCTCGGACGATATTAATAGGAAAACGCCCGGCCGCGGGACTATTAAGGGATGATTTGTGATTCCCGATCGTCGCGGCTGAATTGGTCGCCTCCAAGGCGGAGGGGAACGGCTTGATCGCGTCGTTTTTCGCGCAAATGAGGCGAACCAGTGGCTCGACGACGCCGAGTACCTTGATTTCCAAGACTTTTCAATGGGAGGACGAACGTGGGGATAAAACACGAGGGGAAAGCGTAGTTCCGCCTGTATGGAATACGTTTATAAGGAAATACTGTGTATGCAGGGTGTTCGACCACCTCTGGGAACAATTTTAATTCTAGAGGCCAGAGTAACACGAAAATCAAGAATATCAATTTCTTGATCGAGGCTTCGTTAAAAAGTTACTAAAAAATGTCATATCATTCTGAAAAAATTATTTTCGGTTGCAGGGGTCAATTACAATCATTTTTGGTGAATAGACATATCCCCGAATTCCTGCACACTTTTGAGAAAAAAATTCGAGTATTTGCCTACATTTTTCGGGGCAAACAAATTTTTTCAAATCGTTCTGGAAAAATTATTTTTAGTTCCAGGGGTCAATTACAATCATTTTTGGTCAATACACATACCCCCGAATTCCTACGCAATTTCGAGAAAAAAATTCCTTACCGAAAATCTAATGTCTGACCATACATTGATATGTTTCCCTGAAATTTCATGCGTATTTTTAATACGCCATAACTTCTGAACGGATTGGAGGATTTTAATGTTTCAAAGTGCAAACAACGCGTATTTTGGTGAAGAATATGTAGAAATTCTAAGAATATTCGGAAACCTGTTCCTTAACCCCGTAAAGTGAGAAAAACTCCATAAAAATGGTCCAATTTTCCATCAGCGACAACTCCTAAAATAGTGAAAATATTTCAATGAAATTTTTTTCTGAAGTAGAGCCCATGGGTACCTACAAAAAAGTATTAGACAAGTTTTCTGTAGGGCGTCAAACAAATTTATTAAAAATGAGAAACGAATTTATAAGGATAATGGACAGGTGTCTAAATTTTTCGACAAAATTAAAAAATTTCAAATCGTTCTGGAAAAATTATTTTCAGTTGCGGGGGTCAATTACAATCATTTTTGGTGAATATACATACCCCCGAATTCCTACGCACTTTCCAGAAAAAAATTCGATTAGGTGGACAAAGTCGACAAAATTAAAAGATTTCAAATCATTCTGGAAAAATTATTTTTGATTGCAGGAGTCAATTAAAATCATTTTTGGTGAATGGACCGAAGAAATACATTGAATGTAAGGTCTACTCGTAGATTTCCGTTCTATAGACGGAACTTTAAACGTTAATAACTTTTTAACGAAACCTCAATCAACAAATTAGTATTCTTAACATTCCTCTTATTTTGGCCTCTAGAATTTCCCATTAAAATTTTTCCCAGGGTTGGCTGAACACTCTGTATATGTATATTTTATCTAATCTGACGTTTAGCAAACTTGGAAATATCAGGAAATATTCAGATATAAAGTAATGTATTTGTCGTCGAACAATATTTTTGTAAACTCGCCGATCGTGTCAGGCCTTTAATTTTTTTGTTGACGCTTAATTTAGACCTAATTACGAGTTGTATATTCAGGAGAATCGACAACCCTCGAATTCAATCCCGCACGAGCTTCTTTTCTCCCCCTATTAAGCACCAGGGGTGGCATCAATAGAGCTACTGAAGACGGTACTCCTCCATTAAGAGATCACTCCTGATTATATCTCGAAAAGTATCTCGAGTATCTACTATTACTAAGCTACATACGAGTGTTCATAAAAATGGGATTTTACACTATTCGTATACAGGGTGATGCACGATTTTTCAGTCACTTTCCATAGTCTGACAAAAAAATGTCCCCTATCGAAGTTATTCAGTATTTAACCGACAAGAAATTACATTTGCACATAATATTTCTTAGTCGTTTATTCTATGATTTATTTTGAAAAGAAAGCTCAGAATTGACACGTTATTACAGATCGTCAAAATGGTGCACCCTTCTAAGCCGTGTCACTATTTAAAACAGATTGAGAATGAAAAATTTTGCAATAATTACCGTTAATATAAAGATAATATAAATTCGTCATGACTGATGTTTAGCAGTGCAACATGAACGTGGCCCGAGGAAACCAAAGCCTCATTCGATGCACTCGGACAAACAATCGCCGATTGGATCACCGATACACAACGATCGATTAAGATCTAGCTCCAGCTATATTCTATCGCCTCATAGGTGGGTAACGTTCGCGTTAGAAACTGTATTTGACAAAAAAGACATCTAAAAACACGCTCTCTCATAACAATGCCTTAAGAATATTCTTTTGAACGAAGGTTCTAAGCTCTGGGCAAATTGTTTTTTGTCAATGTTGGATGTTTATTTCGATCTTTGGTTGGTAACTTCGAGGATTAATGAAATCGTAATGGCAGCAGGAGGTTCCGGTGCGACCAGAGGTTTACGCCTTATCCACGACCAGTGGGTCTGGTGCAGAAACCACCGGAGGACTCTCAATCCCCTGTACCGCTGGCTCTGTCGCATTCTCCTTCGACCACGACCCTCTATTCGGCACACCCAACCGTCACCCTGGCACCGCAACCATCCCTTCTTCAGATACTAATGTCCGCCGAGAAGTGTCAGGTAAGTAATTCAGCTCAATTTACTCGACCCAGTGTTTCCCCTTTGCAAACTTTACAACGGCAACCCAGCAAACCCACTTTCCACACAATGGACCGAAACTGAGCGATCCCCCGGACGATCTCGTCGCATTTTCCGGTTTCCGTTTGCGGCCAGCTTCCGGCCAAATTACGACGACAGCGTACGAAACGAATTTTTAATCGAATCGCTTATTTATTTCGTCGGGCAATGAAGCTGTTCTCGATATCATCACGTGCAGTTTACCGATACCAGAATTTGTCAAAATGCGATCAAGCTCCCGATCAACGATTGTAATTAACGAGTAATTAATAATCATGACCAACAGGAATCAATTCGAACGCAATAATCGAACACGATTAACTTACTAATCGTAAACGTAAAATGAAACGATTACACTTTTTAATTATAACCGATTTAACGGGTTAATGAGATTTTCTAAAAACAAACGCGAGACACATTTTTGCGCGAAACGCAAATTCCTGTCGATGGCTCGACGTATCTGGTTTGCGAGATCACGCGTCGAACGCGGTTACAAATTAATTCCCAAATCTCTACACGCTTTTGCAATTTTTGTACGCCCCACGCAAGTAAAAACTATTTTCAATTTCCCATTTACAAGGAACTCGCATGGAATGCACGACTACAACCGGAATCCGAATATTCCCTGGAGCAAACAGAAACCAGTCACAATTCGACGGGGACATTACAAAATCTTACTCCTATTCGGGAACTGTTACAGGTAACGAAAACTGTATAAAACATTTAGAAAAATTTCACGATCCGTCCAGTGATCAAATATTTACGAAGGATGGGATATGGTTCAGAGAGTATTCGAATTGCTACTAAACTGAAATAGAAACGACGAGAGAGCACGATACTTTATCGATACTTTTTCTTTCAAACGATACACACACACGCGTACGAACACTATAACACTCATGCACCAACATTCATTGAATCAATACCTTTCATTTTTTAATTTTGTCCACGAATAATGAATACAAATTTTAAATTAATTCGTAATCTGACTTCTTGTAGTTATCTTCAGCTTCTGATAGTAGATAAGTAGTCACTTAATTTAAGAAGAAACGAAGTAACTTCCGCTATAGAAACTAGTATATTGCGTCTGTGTTTGATCGGAAATTTAAAAATAAGAACATTGGGACGACATCGCGCGAAGAAGAAAATTCGTTTGCACGTTTCAGGAAACAACTGCTCGGCTATTGTTCATGGCCGTGAAGTGGGTTCGATCTTTGCCACCTTTCCTGGCGCTTCCAAAGAACGATCAATTATTATTGTTGGAAAGATCCTGGACGCAACTATTCCTCCTGCATCTCGCTCAGTGGTTCATATCCTGGACTGATATCAGGTTTCTGGAGAACGAACAAATACGAGGAAGATTGCCAAAAGACGAGGCCTCCACGAACCAAGATTTTATTACCATTCAGGTGATCCTAAGTGTCTGTTACATGATTTAAACGAAACAACAAATAACAAATCTTTCCTTTCCCCGTTGAACGACAATCGACACACTCGAAATAATTCTATTCTAAATTCGCATCTAGTTATTTAAGATCGACGAAAGCTGACTCAAAGAACACAGAAATCACTTCACTGTACCGTGTACGTATGTTTCAGTCCATAATATGCCGTTTTAGACAACTCACGCCCGACGTCGGCGAATGTGGATGCATGAAAGCAGTTGCGCTCTTCACTCCAGGTGATTTCTAATGAACATTTTGCAAACAAAATTATATCGAGTACGATCCTCCCATAGAAGAAGCATTAAAATTACACGAACGACCACAGAAGAATTAAAATCATTGCAAATACTGTTATCACCAGTTAAAGCGGAGTAAACAATTTCCAATGATATTTTTTTTTTAATCTTCTACCACTGGTGGTCCTCGACCATCGACCATATATTATTTAGATAATAATTCCTATACTTTATTACCGGTTATTTGTATTATTAGTCGCCCGTCTTTTTTAGTCAACCTAGGGATGGCAATTAGGAGTTGTTGTGCCAGTGTTTTCGATTCCAAAACGACACGAATGAAATTTGTTCGCAGAAACGGAGGGTCTGCAGGCCATCGAGTCGGTCAGAATGTTGCAAGACCAGGCCCAGTGCATTTTAGGGGATTACGCGACGTCTCATTATCTACAGCAACCGGGTAGAAGCGGGACGCTAATGTATCTGGTCGGTTACATGAAATCCGTCTCTTCGAAGACGGTCGAGCGTTTGTTTTTCCACGAGACCATAGGCGAGATCCCCATATCTCGTTTGCTGGTCGACATGTATCAAATGTGAGGAGCCGCGGGAACCGAGGCTCTCAAAATGGCGAGAGCTGTTCCGTCGAATTCCTCGCGGCATTCCGTAAACTCTTCCGATTCCCGAAGTCAGACTCCAGAGGGAATAGGAAAAGTTTTTTTCGGAATCTGTAGCTGAAGACTGTAACTATAGGTGTATGAACAGATTATTGATCTCTTCGCGATCGACGCGTTTTCGTGGTTCTCACGGTCCCTTTAGACTACGCTGAGTTGCGCTATTCGAACGGTATTGCTTTTTAGCGATTGCACGTCGATCATTCGTGTTTATTAGCGATATTATTTGCAGCAGCATACCGTGTAAATTACTTTTGATAGGCGCGTAGTTTTCAGAAATGTGAAAATCACTGCCAACGACACCGGTCGGCTGTAAGACATTATTTGGTTGAACAAAGTCGTGTACAAGTAATGTTTGTAAAATACTTTAAAACGATCTATCGTTTAATCCCTTTGTATTTGTCAGAGAACGCTGTTTATTGCGGATATTATGCATATCAGAGTATTCGAATATTTCTCGTCGCCGATATCATTTTTTTTTTTTTAACTTGTATAGTTCGTTTTGTAAATACATATATTTGGAAAAGTGTGTCATTGCTGGCAAATCGAAGTAAAGATATGGGAAGGAGAAACAAACGTTATTTAATGCAGATTATATTGAAGAAGTATTTAAGATTATGTTTGTTACGTTGCAAATTTTCTGAGCATTTTATTTCCAAGTTTACCGCGTTTAAGCAAATTTTATGATCGATGAAAACCCCGGAATTATACATGGTAAAATCTGTATACTTTCTACGAAAACATAGTTTATATCAAAGTAAAGGTATAATTGTAATTTTAGTGATTAATCAGTAATTCAGTTCTATTTATTCGCAAGTATTTGAAGAATCGGAATTCAATTGACGATTCTGAGTAATATCAATCGATTGAGTGTCTTATTTTAAATTTGATATTTTAATCTTAAAATATCTAAATGTATTACAAGCATACAATAGAATATTACCTATCTGCATCAATATCTCACCTACATATCAATGTGATCATTTCCTCTTACTTTTCTAGATGACATTATTTAGATGTTATAAATTGTAATTTAACAATTACACCTTGTATTATAATCTCTGATAAATAACAGCGTTTAATTATTTCAGAGTTATGTATTATACATATGATTTTATTTAAGAACAACTAATTACAATTAGTCAATTTGTATAATATGTATTATTGATTTGTAGTATTTGTTATTATATTCGTTTCCGATCCTCAGACATAAATGTATTTGTTATAAACGAACAGATCTTTGTTTTGTAGAATAGACACTGTGTTTATACACTGTTAGCGTAGAAATGATTTATACGAGTCCGTGAAAACGACGGGCAAACAAAACAAAGTTGTAAAAAGCAGTGTGTATGTACTTACAATTAGTATTACTGGTGCTTTCCTTATTTAATCCCTCGTCGGTGTACAAAATTGACATTTCATTCATTAAATTAGTTTTTAAACGATGCAGCTCTTGTCATAACTATCATCTCCAATACATGTAAGGTGTGTATAATAGTACAGAATAATATTTTAAGACATTGTTAAACTGTTATTGTAATAAAATGAAAGGCAAAAAGTTTAACATCGTAGTTCCAACAGAGCAACTAATAATGTTAATGAAATATAGAACAATATGTTCTGTAATAGTTATATGATACACTAAGTAAATACTTTGTTTAATAGCGTTACTCGTACTAAAATCTTGAAATTTTTATTGCATCAAGCATAAAATCGTTTAAGCATTTACTTTTATTTATTAATATGAACGCGTTTTAGTGAAATTCAACTGAAAATAAAGAGTACTTATTTTTTTACATCGCAATAGTACTAATCTTATAAAACATAAATCTGCTTATAATTAAATATATATGTATCATATGTATCGCATAATATAAATATAGCAGGATTAAATATATTTTGAAATTCCCGCCTTCTGATGCATTGGCTTGCACCATATAACGTATGCAATCAGAGGTGCCAGAAGAGCATCGACGATGCCAGTTCACGCGTACGTGAGCTCGTGGAGTTTCGGAAAGTCGACAAAGGCAGACTGACACATGCCCCCTTTCTCGATTCTCCGAAGCTGCCCGAAGTAATTTCGGACTACCTCGTGGGTGTCGATAGAGAAAGGCTCACATTTGCCTTCTCGCTCTTGAACAACTGAAATTCGACCTCACGTCAACGGCATACTATTCCAAGTCTCGATTGCTCAGGTATTTTTATTTTCCGACTTATGTAGGCACACATAAGCAAGGTACTATAATGATAAAAAATTTTGTGAAATTTTTCTTACGAAAATACACGTTCTAAGACCCCCTAATCATATTTTAACTATTGAAAGAAAAGAAATTTTTTTTTATTATTCCTATGTATGAGCGTACATATGTATATTATTAACACGATTTTTCAAAATCAAGATACTTTAAGATTGAAAGTTAATAAAATAAAACGAGAGTCCACTCTTTGCCAGTATCGTGTACGCTGGTAGCATTTTTCAATAAGAAGTGTTCTTATTTTTATAGTATGAACAAAACAGAAGAATTAATTGTTGCAGAAATTAATCAATAATGATTTTCCTCGATATGTCTTGAGATACTCGTATCAGTTTGTTATGACGAACTAAATACTATATGCCATTTTAGTACAATGTATGGGTCGGATTATAAATTTTAAAAGGATATAGACGAATATTTTTTCAGATGCAAACATAGCGTTTTATTTTAGAACAGTAACTTGAGTTAGCAGGTAATGTCATAAAACTGTTTTACCCAGTTATACCCCTTTTTACCTGAAGTGTAAGGTAAAAAGTACGACGTATAAGGTACGACTACATGTACTTTTGAATTTTCCTACAGTCCTCCGCTGGCCTCTGCTGACTGCTGCTGACCACTTCTGATACTTCTGATACTTCTGACAACGTATAACGATTATTACGGGCTACTGCCAACGTCTGCCGGCCTATACTAGCTTCTGCTGGCCTCTACTGACCACCGCTTATATTTCTGACAACATATAACGATTACTACTGACTTCTGCCAGCCACCGCTGGCCTCTGCTTGCCTCTGCTGTCCCCTGCTGTCCCCTGCTGGCCACTGCTGGCCCTTGCTGACGCCTGCTGACCACTGCTGACCACTTCTGATACTTCTGATACTTCTGACAACGTATAACGATTATTACGGGCTACTGCCAACGTCTGCCGGCCTATACTAGCTTCTGCTGGCCTCTACTGACCACCGCTTATATTTCTGACAACATATAACGATTACTACTGACTTCTGCCAGCCACCGCTGGCCTCTGCTTGCCTCTGCTGTCCCCTGCTGTCCCCTGCTGGCCACTGCTGGCCCTTGCTGACGCCTGCTGACCACTGCTGACCACTGCTGATCTGTGTTGACAACTTCTGATATGATGTATATGTATTAAAACTTTGTATAATGTAAATCTATGCCAATAAATTATATAATTACAAAGAATTCTATGTGTTCTCATCATTTTTTACCTTTCTTTTCCTCTCCAAATCATTACCTTAGTTATAAGACTCCCTGAAACTCCTTGGTTTCCCTGAACCCCTTTGGAAGTCCCGGACCAGCTGGAAAGTCCTGAAACAACTGGAAAGTCCTGAAACAGCTGGAAAGTCCTGAAACAGCTGCAAAGCCCTGAAACAACTGGAAAGTCCTGAAACTCAGAACTTTGCTAAAAATTCAGGGTTTCCAAGAAATCCCAGGACTTTCCAGCTGTTTCAGGGCTTTTTAGTTGTTTCAGGGATTTCCAGCTGTTTCAGGACTTTCCAGCTGTTTCAGGACTTTCCAGTTGTTCCAGGGCTTTCCAATTGTTTCAGGACTTTTTGGGAAATCGGCGAAATTTTCGAGCAAAAATTTTTTGACGAAAAAAATGAATTTTCGATTTTGCCAGCAGGTACGAAAGTGACGGTTACAGAAAAAAAAATTTAAAAGTTAATATTTGATTTTGGCAGCAAGTACGAGAGCTGACGGTTACTGAATAAATTTTGCTCGAAAATTTCGCCGTTTTGCCAATTCAGATGTGGCCTTACCTTGACCTTGACCTTGACTTCAAGGCCATTCGAATTTTTAAAAAATTCTGGACACTGGGAATCCAATTTTAACCGGAAAAACGGTCTCTTAAAATTAAGGCAATGATTTGGAGAGGAAAAGAAAGGTAAAAATAACCAAAACACATAGAATTCTTTGAAATTATATCATTTATTGCCATAGATTTACATTATACAAAGTTTTAATACATATACATCATATCAGAAGTTGTCAACAAAGATCAGCAGTGGTCAGCAGTGGTCAGCAGGCGTCAGCAAGGGCCAGCAGGGGTCAGCAAGGACCAGCAGGGGCCAGCAGAGGCAGCAGAGGCAAGCAGAGACCAGCAGGGGTAGGCGGTAACAAGTAGTAATCGTTATACGTTGTCGGAAGCATCAGGAGTGGTCAGCAGTGATCAGCGGAGGCCGGCGGAGGACAACGGAGGCCAGCAGGGGCCAGCAGAAGCCAGCGGAGGCCAGCGGAGGCCAGCGGAGGCCAGCGGAGATCAGCAGCGGCAAGCAGTGGAAAGCAGGGGCCAGCAAGGGCCAGTAGGGGACAGCAGAGGCCAGTAGGGGACATCAGAGGCAAGCAGAGACCAGCAGGGGCAGGCGATAACAAGTAGTAATCGTTATATGTTGTCGAAAGCATCAGGGGTGTTCAGGAGTGGTCAGCGGTGGTCAGCGGAGGCCAGAGGAGGCCAGCAGAGGCCAGCAGAGGCCAGCAGAGGCCAGGAGTGGCCAGCAGAGGCCAGCAGTAGTCAGCAGTAGCAAGCAGTGGCAAGCAGAGACCAGCAGGGGCAAGCAACAGCAAGTTGTAATCGTTATACGTTGTCAGAAGTAACAGGAGTGGTCAGCAGCGGTCGGCAGAGGCCAGCGGTGGCTGGCAGAAGTCAGTAGTAATTGTTATACGTTGTCAGAAATATAAGCAGTGGTCAGCAAAGGCCAGCAGCAGCCCGTAGAGGCCGGGAGACGTTGGCAGTAGCCCGTAGTAATCGTTATACGTTGTCAGAAGTATCAGAAGTGGTCAGCAGCGGTCAACAGAGGCCGGCGGAGGACTGTAGGAAAATTCAAAAGTACATTTAGTCGTACCTTATACTTCAGGTAAAAAGGGGTATAACTAGGTAAAATAATTTTATGACATTACCTGTTAACTCAAGTTAGCCACCAGTAAAGGCATGTAGAAATCAGCAATGGTCAGCAGAGGTCAACGGAGGTTGGCAGAAGTCAGTCGTAATTGTTATACGTCAGAAATATAAGCGGAGGTCAGGAGAGGCCAACAGAGGCTGGGAGAGGCTGGCAGTAACCAGTAGTAATCGTTATACGTTGTCGGAAGTATCAGGTGTGGTCAGCAGTGGCCAGCAGAAGCCAGCAGAGGCTGCGAGAGGCTGGCAGTAGCCAGCAGTAATGGTTATACGTAGCCAGATGTATCAGAAGTGATATCTGAAATGATATACATATGTACGCTCATACATAGGAATAATAAAAGAGAATTTATTTTTGTTCAATAATTCAAATATGATCAGGGGGTCTTAACACTTTACCGACCGGTAGCCTATTAATCGACTTTTTACCGACCGATAGCCGATAAATCAGTTTTTTACCGCTCAACACTTTACCGACCGGGTAGCTTATTAATCGGTTGTCATGAAAATAAAAAATATCACTAGATTTAATTACCCTGTAATTACAGAAAGAGAACAATATAGTAACCACTGTCGCAGAGTTTCATTTAACATTCTTATAAGAAAAAGTAGATATATAATCTAGGGTCAATCGGTACCGGTCGGTAAAGTGTATTTCCGTAAGAAAAATTTCACAAAAGTTTGTTCCATTATAGTACCTTGCTTATGTGCGCCTACATAGGACGAAAAATAAAAATACCTGGGCAGTCGAGACTTGGAATCGTATGCCGTTGACGTGAGGTCGAATTTCAGTTGTTCAAGAGCGAGAAGGCAAATGTGAGCCTCTCTCTCGAGCCCACGAAACGGTCCAAAATTACTTCGGCAGCTTCGGAGAATCGAGAAAGATAAGAGAAACTCTGCGAGCTCACGTACGCGTGATCTGGCATAGTTGAGTAGTGCACCCGGTGCTCAATCTAGCTTCACTGTATGCGATTCACATCTTCATTGGTGTGTATAGTTCATGCCTCGTCCAATATGAACGCATCCATGGCTCGAGTCTTCGAAGCATGATTGTATATTCTAACCTAACTTTTTATATGTAAACAAAATTTTTGACATATAGTAAGAAGAGATAATGGTGCAAAGCAAAATATTTTTAAAAAATCGGGCATTGGGATATGTTAGTAATCACATTCCTCTCGTGACAAGATACATAGAAAGACGAAAAGAAAATCTTATAGTAACGTGCGTTGGTAACGCATTTCACACGTACGGTTGCGCTCATTTTACACTTCTTAGCGTGTCAGGAACGCATCCAGGAGACATTACGTGCTTATCAGCAGATACCTATCACATATATACAGCATGTAAAAATGTCATATATGCTTGGAGGAGAGGGACAGAACTAAAGCATACCTATAAAGGTCACGAAAGCACTGTGCATACACTCTTACCTTTTGGGCCACATTTAATATCTGTGGATGAAGATAGCAATGTTAAAGTATGGGATATTAAATTGGAACAGCTCGTTTTGGAGCTTAACTTTAGCAATAAGATTTTCAAAATAACAACATTAATGCATCCTAACACTTACATGAATAAAGTTGTATTTGGAAGTGAACAGGGTCAATTACAGTTATGGAATCTGAAGGTTGCACAAACAATTTACACATTTATTGGTTGGAATACACCAGTAACTGTAATCGAACAAGCCCCTGCAATAGATGTTGTAGCAGTGGGTTTGAACGATGGGAGAATTATATTACACAATCTGAAATACGATGAAACTCTTTTTGAACTGGTACAAGATTGGGGCTCTGTAATATCAATTAGTTTTCGTACAGACGAATACCCAATCATGGCCACAGGAAGCTCAGATGGCCATATTGTGTTTTGGAACTTAGAAAAACAACATGTAGAAAGTCAACTGTACAAAGCACATTTTGATGCGGTGGCTGGTTTAAAATATTTACCAAATGAGCCACTATTAGTATCATCATCACCTGATAACTCTTTGAAGCTATGGATATTTGATTTAGCTGATGGTGCTGGCAGACTTTTAAGAATTAGAGAGGCTCATGCAGAACCACCTACTGCAATTCGTTTTTATGGGAATGAAGGCACCAATATACTAACAGCTGGAAGCGATTCTTCCTTAAGAATATTTTCCACAGTTACAGAAATTTTGAACAAAAGTTTGGGAAGAGCATCGTTTAACAGAAAGGCTTCAAAAAAGAAAGGAAGGACAGTAGATGATCATTTGATAATGCCACCAATAAGTGAATTCTGTGCGGAAACTACAAGAGAAAAAGAATGGGATAATATTGCTGCAATACATATTGGCTTGGGTACAGTCACTACATGGTCCTATAACAAAGCCAGAATGGGTGAACATAAACTATTGCCAGAAAAATTTAAAGGGAACCACAATGCTATAGCAAGCACTGTATGCTTGACAAAATGTGGAAATTTTGTTATTATAGGCTATAATACAGGTCATGTAGAAAGATTTAATATGCAATCAGGGCTTCACAGAACTAGTTATGGCAATAACAAAGGTGCGCATAAGGGACCTGTAAAAGGTGTAATGGTGGATCCTTTGAATCAAACTGTTATTTCTGCTGGAAGAGACACTTTCATAAAGTTTTGGGATTTTAATCAAAAGAGAGGTAGGAAAAATAAATCGATTCGTAATGTTATTAATTTTAAGACGGGGGTTGATAATCTTTTGGGTAGAAAGTACTATAATTAATTAATAAAAAGGAAAGGAAAATCAAGTCACATACATACAGTAGTGCCCGCTTTAGCGTCCGTTGCCATCCTCCCCAGTTCTTGGAAGTCAAACCTGTCCGCGCGTACCAACTATTGTATCTCACTCGCACTCATCCCGTATTCTTATCTCAGTTGAATTCGTAGAATTCACCCCGCTGCGTAGACTTAATGCAGACGAGCGACTTTTTGCCGCACGATGCATCTGTCTTCGTTATTTTCAGTTGGAGGAACAAGGAAAGACATACGATCGTGCGTCAAAAAGCGACCGATCCCGATCTCGGACGCGCAAATGGGCACTACTATAACGCTATCCCATTTACAATTGCAATATTTGCCCCTTTCACTGAAATGCCTTTTTGTCTTCTTTAAGCATTCAGTACGTATTGTATAATTTTAAGGGAATACACAACCAAGAACAAAATTATCAATGGGCGAACCGGTTGAATGGCTAAGGTATCACAATGAAAGTTCACTAACGGCCGTAGCATTGGAAGATTTTAGTATTGTATTAATAGATCTTGATACAACAAGAATTGTACGACGTTTCGAGGGACATCAAGCACGAGTAACAGATGCATGTTTTAATCCAGATTCAAGATGGTTAGTAACAGCATCAATGGATTGCACAATCCGTACATGGGACATTCCTTCTTCGAATCTAATAGATGTTTTTCAGGTATACCTTCGTACACATTTTTGTTGAATTTTGAATCTATTACTAATATTATGCATTATTAATATTGGAAAAGTAACTAAATTAATGAAAAAACTTTATACATTAATACGTTCACTCTTGCGCGTCACTTTTCGCATAAATCGAAAACTGAACTGAATGTTTCGATTGTATCGAATAGTATCGACATTGATATTTTACAATGGCGTTTCAGGTTCCAGAGGCATGTGCGTCTTTACATTTTTCGCCAACAGGCGAATTCCTTGCCACAACACATGTATGTAATGTCGGAATATATTTATGGTCAAATCGAACTCTCTATTCTTATATTTCGCTAAAAGCGGTAAACAAAGACGATCCGATTCCAATGATCGATCTTCCAAATTCAGTGGTAGAAGTAATCGATATCAAAGATGATGAACTCATTGAACCAGAACCAGAATACATTTCTCCGGATCAACTTCATGATGATCTTATTACGATGTCTGGCTTGGCTCAGACGAGATGGCAAAATCTACTTAACATAGATATCGTTAGGAAAAGAAATAAACCAAAAGAACCACCCAAAGCACCAGAAAGTGCACCTTTCTTTTTGCCAACGATTCCATCATTAGAACTAAAATTTGATTTCTCGGATGTACAGAATAAGGAACCAAATAAGAAGTTGATAATTCATCCCGATTTACAAAATCTTACTATCTTCGGTAAATCTCTACTATCCGTTAAGGACGATGAATTTGAAGTTATTGTCGAAAAATTGAAATATATGAGTCCAACTTCTATCGATTTTGAAATTCAATCGCTTTCGACCGACGAAAACACGATGAATACCCTGTTGCTTCATTTTATGAAAATGATACATTACATGATAGAAAAGAAAACGGATTTTGAATTGGCACAAGCTTATTTGGCTGTGTCTTTAAAGTGGCATGGAACTGTAATAACAGAGACCGAATCGTTAAGAAGTTATTTGACTACATTACAAGAAGCCCAATCAAAGAGTTGGATTTTACTAAGAGATAAATTGTTTTATAATCTTAGTGTTGTACAAGCTTTGAAAAAATTGTAATATATTTTGAGAGAGTAAAATTATTGTTTTGTATATTTTTAAATGTGTCATTACTTATAAAATATTTGATTTATTATAGCATTTTACAAATTTAAGTTTAGGTATTATCACGATTAGAAAGTATACTATACATACCAAACTTACAATTATTTTTTCAATGAAAATTCATACATTGTATTTACCAAGCCTTAACCATAATTGTAAAAAAGACTCCAGTCATAAATATAATTTATATATATGTATATAGAACAATTAAGAAAATAACTGTATAGTTTTTGTAATACATATATATAATTTTGACTATGAGTAGAGTATCATAGATTTTATAACTATTTCGGAGTATGGCAGTATATACATCATGGTTCATAAATTATTCAAAACGGTACAAAAATCATTCTCTGTAAGCTAGGAAATTATGTAACTGTTCCATTGTTCCAGGCTCTAGTGCTAAATCTTGAATATATTCTTCAAAGTTTATAACAATCCTGTAAAGACTTCTCTTTGTTGTACCACATAAAGATCGAAGAATTTGTTTAATAAATTCATCATCTTCTTCTTGCTTTTTTACAATAATATTTAACTTTTGTAATTTATCAAGAGCTTGTTTCAAACCAAGTAAGGTATTAATTATAAGTGGTAGATCCTTCAGTACAATTCCATAGAAATCTTCACTTATCGATAATACAGATAAGGAAGAAATTGCTTCAGCAGCCCAAACAATTGATTGTCCATTGAATAAAATATGACACACTTTGCCACCTTCCACTTCACCAAAGATGTAAGAAATAAGTGGTTTGGAAAGCAAATATTTAAGAAAATTGTTCCACTTTACTCTTATGAATTGTTGAATGAAAAGTTCATCATCAATATCTTTTTTTACATCACTTTGTTGGATACATGTTGGTGTTTCCTCTTTTACTAAATTCCGCATTTGGTATACATATTCTTTTTGATATAAACTACTCTTTGTTAACACAGCTGTGTTTAAAGTACACGATGGTATTTCTTCTGGATATTTAACACATGCTGCACTAAGTTCATCCGAAAATTTCTTAATAAGTCCAATGCATGTTTCTACAATGCAATTCCAATTGTAAGGATGACCACCAGGTTGACTCAGTGAAAATAATACGCTTCTTCTTGCCTTGTCTTTTTGTGCCATCGTGACTAAATCCAAGTAGCCTAAGTGTCGCATTATTGGTATTTTATCCATGGATAATGCTTCTGGAAGCGTTACTTCAGAGTTATCATTACTAAATACATTACTTTGTTTAAACTCAAACGGAATCCATTCTGTCAAATGCAGATTGAATAATAAATATGTGCTATCGATTGCCAATACAAATATCAATTGGTATAACCACAAATGGAAAATCAATGGGAGATTTATTAATCTAGGAATGCTATTCAATGGTTCATTTTCTAATTCTGCGGATGCCAAGAACAATATCACAGAACGAAAGTAAGAGCCCAGGAAGTAATAGATAATTAAATAGTATAAAGTTGGCCACACACACTTGACCATTAACGATGGTAGCAGCGTGTATAATTCTGTCTTAAATCTATAGAACTTCGACATGGATATAATAGGAAATTTTAAGTAATTTACACGAAAGATGCTAATCTTTAAGAAAAAGTACAATCCACTCCAAAATCCACTTAAGAACAGAAAATAATGTTCTTCCATTAGGCATACTCCATAGATTATGGTACATTCTGTTGTTAAAAAATTGTATGTCCCTCCTTGGACTGACAAATGCAACCAAACAAGGAGGCCGCTGATGATAATGTGTAGAACACCCATTAAAATATTTTGGGGTGTGAATATTCTACAAAATTTTGCAAATCTGCTTTTCAGATAAGGTGGAGTGTTCGAATAACTTTTACTACAAATAATCCCGTGAAAGAACGTAACGGTAGCAAGAACGCAGAAATAACTCCACATACGAAACGAGGTTATCGTTGTCCATGTGTTTTGAAACCACGATGTATAGTTTGTATTCAGATTTGTGATTAAAAACAAGCATGATACAAGAAAAAATTGCACTGCTATGATAGAGATTATAGCCAAGAACATCCTCTGCATCAACAATTCTTTGCATCCCTTTTTATTTGTCTGCATCATCTTGTTTTATGTCAGTTAACCTTCACTGTCTTGATATCTTATACAATGTGTAATTCAAAATACTTTCAAACAAATCGCTATATCGAAGATGTTCTTCAAAGGTGCGAAACTTATATAAACTTATCATTTATCTTCATAATTGTAGTTCGTTATATATCCATTATTATGAAATAATAAAAATGATAAACATTTGAAACTTCGAAAAGCCGGCACGCTTCTGTTTTTCCGTTAATTTTATCAAGCGCGCCACTAGGGTAACTTTCATAAAACGAACATTAAAGGAGACATTATAAATTGTAATATGAAAAACAATTTTAAATAGTTGGAAAGTATATATTTATTGTAAAATTAAAGATATTTATTAATTAATTAATTTATGGCTTAAATTACGATTCAGCCCCGCTGGCGATCTGTTAAATATTATGCAAATATGAATGCTTATTTCTAAGCCATAATGATTCTTATCATATATTTTAAATATCATAGCTATACGAATAATATTTACGAATGAACGTTTTACTGTTTTTCCGTAGTTTCCTTTCTATTTTGTATTCTATGTTTCTAGTAAGAAAATGTAAGTCAAGTGCTTGATACGTTTTCGAACCCGAACAGGAACTATTCATTATTCAGCGAAGGTTGCCTTACTAGTAACATCTTTAATTAACCCGCATGTCATTTTCAATGCGCCTATATAAATATATAGTATAAACAAAATGGATTAAAGTTTTATAAAAATTAGTTTTTGTTATTTTATGGAACTGTTGAATACCCGTCGTCATGTGGAAGTGCCATAAATGTGGGAAACCAGTATACTTCGGTCAGTCCCAATCTTCACATATATTAAAAAGGCGTACTAATTTTGACAAGTACCGTTTCCTGTCATTAGAACGAATTGATTCCTTTCTTTTTTCGTTTGTATGAATGTTATGATACCTGAATATTTCTCAGACACCGAGATTATTCGATGATTCCTTTGTGCATGTATTGGTCGAATATTTCATTGTTAATAAAAAGAATTTATTTTAATTAAAAAAAGCAATCCAAACAATGTTTATTCTTTATTTTGGCAATCCGACGATTTCACTGTTTATGTATTAAGTAAAAGATGAATAATATCTGTAGAAGTTCAAGTTTATTTGTATGTTACAGGTATCAATTTAAATTAATATTGTAGTATGCTTTTATAATTTTTAATTCTATTAAAAATATTTATAATAACACCAAAGGAAGAAATGTAAAAGTTGTTTTACACATTTTTTATATTAATGTACGAATTTTTAGAAATGAAATCAATACATTCTGTACAAGTATAATATGAATATATCTATTTATTTTGATAAAACAATTAAATGAATTGTATTTATTTTTAGCTGAACGTAAACAATCATTGGGATATGATTGGCATCCAGAATGTTTACGCTGTGAAGAATGTGGAAAAAGATTGAATCCAGGCCAGCATGCAGAGGTGCAATAATATTTTATTGCAAAATTATTGTATATAATACCTTGATAATATTTAATGAATTTAAAATGTATTTAAAATGTATTTAATGTATTATTTATTAGTATTGTCAATGTACTGTTATTAATTATAAATCATAAATTGGTATGATTGACATTACATTTTATATATTAATGTATAGCACAAAGGTGTACCATATTGTCATGTACCATGTTATGGGGCACTTTTTGGACCACAATTGTTTGGTCATGGAACAAGAGTTGAATCACACACAAGCTTTGGAAAAAAAGAAGCTAGGCCATCGTTACCTAGGTATGACATTTAATGAACATTATTAAACTAATATAGTAATTAAATTTTTTTATGTTCAGATCACACTTGGAGTCAAAACTGAAAGTTTTCAATCAATATTATGAAGGCAAAAGCGGTGGATTTAGGAGCCGCGAAGTAAATAAATTTTGTATTATAGATATATTTATATTTAGGAAAGTACAAAATAAATTGATAGGTGTGATTTATTTGATATAGGTAAATGGAAGATTAATATTAGAAGGTGCGCTTCGAATTTATTGGGGCGTTCGAGGAGTAATTCATTTAAAAGAAGATGATGATCAACGTACAGTGGTTACAGCGCGGAATAGAAACTCATGCAGGCGTAGCGTTTCCGATGTTCGTACATTTTTTTATGTAGAAACGCGCGCGCTTAGTTGGAACTTTGTACAGTATTATATGTTTTAAATTTTTATATTAGAGTATAGAAGATGAGGATAAGGAGGAAAATTCCGCGAAGGGTACATCGGAGCAGGATACAGAAACTGAAGCAAAATCTGTTCCAGCTTCGCCTGATCACCTTAAAAGTCTTACTTTGCCAATGAAATTAGATGTTAAGACCATGGAATGGGATGAGCTAGATGAACTTCTTCAGGTAATAAACTGATTCTTTAAATTTCTGGTTACTAGACGTGTTTTATATTGTTATTTAATTTTATTCTTCGGAATATTCATTCTCCAGGTTGAACGCAAAGTTGAGGACGGCAATAAATTATATCAAACAATGCCTGAAAATCTGCCGTCGATTAGTTCGCAAACTAGCACGGATGCACTACCGCTTTCTTCTCAGTCCAGTCTCGATAAATCTGATTCTTGTGAAAATTCAGAAACAAGTAGCCCTAATCACCAAACCACCCGCGGTAATGACAGTAGCATAACCAGTACACCGACGCACAGTATAGGTAGCTCGTCTAGTACCGATACACCTATTTACCATGGAACACCGAACCGAAACGGGACGCTTCGAAGGATAGAATATTTCGATAGTTTGGAAAAAAATATACCTTGTAACAGAACTATCAGCACCGACGATAGTTGGATAGAGAAAGGATTAAATCGATCGATGTCTGGACCAGACTGTCTGCAAAGACATCGAACAGACAGTGATACAGACTCCGTGAATTCTCTTCAATTTAGAGAGGATGATAACATGACGATGTCCACCGATAGCGGATTAGAGGTAATTAAACTTTGAGCAACATTGGGCCGCGTGATATCTCGACTAGGAATGAGAAGTTAACGATCATTTTGCATATATTTTAGCTGGATGGGGTAGTTTTACGACGAAAACAAGGGTCTACCGCGATCAGACGTCGACCCGGAGGTCGTCGCCAATCCCGTAGTCGTTTGCGGCGTCGTTGCTCGATCAACGGACATTTTTATAATCGTGAAACCAGTTTTTTCACACCGCCACATGGATCTCAAATGTCTGTTTGGATTACGAGCTTAGTAAATACCCAAGAAGTTATCAACCTCATGTTGGACAAGTATAAAGTCGACGCTAAGCCGGACAATTTTGCGTTATTCGTGGTCCGTGACAATGGCGGTGAGTTAAATCAATAATTTTGCTTCTAAAATATACATATATCGTAAGCTAATATTTTACACAAATATTTCGTAACCTAACCTGTACAAATGTAAGACAAGTGTAAGAACACGTAATGACCAAATTGTTGAACGCGGAATCGACCTTCGATGATTCTCACATCTGCGCGCCAACACGCAGCCCTGCCATGAGCCTCCCCCAACTACAAATTTGGGAAAAGTTGACCTGCTCGTCGACCAACAACGGCAACTTTTTCCAAAGTCCTCAAGCGACGTCTTCGTTTCGACGTGGCACACACCCTTTTCCAAGAGCATCGTTGCAAGGGTGCTTGGAAGGGAGGAGACCTAACACTCGACCTTCAAACATCATTCTCACATTCTCACAGCGGCTGGAACTAAGTCATATCTCTTCGACCAAACACAATGTACTGTCCCCCGCTGACTTGAAGTCCCGTGGCAGGAATGCGAGAAAAGTAGTGGGGATACACTCTGGTTCGCTATTGGTCGCGGCAGTTACACACACATGTGGACTGCCTGAGAGCAAGGGAGCAAGACAGATAGATGAACGGTTCGAGTTTGACTCCTCTTGCCCCTGTGGCGTCCCGCGAGACTTTAAGTCAGCGGACCACAGTACTTTAGTTTTTTAATTACGTATCTAATAAACGTTAGGAAACTCAAATCTCTCAAAACCCTTAATTCCTCCATCCCGGAGTATTAATTTATTATATGAATACCGCGAGCTGCAACACAAATGATGAACAAATAATGCTTTTTTTTCTAGAACAAAGAAGATTGAGAGAGGACGAGTATCCTTTAGAGGTTAGAGTAGTATTGGGTCCGCACGAAAACGTTGCTAGGCTCTTTTTGGTGGACAAACTTTCGACGCCGGAAATCAGCTCCGACGTCGCTCAATTTCTCAATCTATCTTTGGCAGAGTGTCACGGTATATTGCAACGTTATCATTACGAGGAGGAACGTCAAATTCTCGTGTTGAAAGAGAAGTAAGTTTTTACGGAAATTGTGTATAATTCCCAGCGAATAATTAGTATAAAATATATTTAAATTTTGTTTATTTGATATTTCCAGATACAAAGAGATGCGACGAAGAATACGACAAAGAATGGAGGAGCTAAAGGTCCGACTGTAGTTAGTACGTATACTTAATGAATACTTGAATACCCATATCATTATTTTTCTATTAATCCACACTTGAAGATCAATTCTTTCTTTTTTTTATAAATTATTCGCTGCGAAAAATATTTTGTTGTAATCAATTTCAAGGTATGTATCGCAATATGGTACATAATCCGTAATCCATGACTTATTTGAAAGTTCGAGCGTAGCAATGGAATATTGATTTACGTTTGAATGTGTCAAGCGATAACGTACTAACATCTTCTAGCTTAAAAACTTGTTATTTCATTATCCAGTTGTAATCATATTTTGCATCTTTACTGCATTTATCTGTACTCTGTATGCGCAGCTACTACCGAATCGTTCAGTGCAATTTAATTAGAAATTTATATATCTAAATGACATATTTTTTAAGTCGACTGTGCATTGTACAAGAGTCATACAGTCATATGAGTCATTGTTTAAGATGATATCGTCTAAATTGCTAATTGTTATACGTACAGGATGCGACATAATTTGCGCTGCAATCGAAAAAAAGGATTATTCTTCGTGATATAATGAGTCGAAAGTTCGGGGGAAAATATTACTAAGAGAGGATTTCTTTTTGAAAATATCGAGCTTGAAAATATGTGATCTATATATACGAGGTCATAAGTCTTGTGTACACAACTTTCGTTCCACATATTTGTATTAATTTTCCACAAGGAATCGCCTGTCTTTCGATTAAGTCGCAAATTTCGCCCCATCCTGTACAATGCTTTACTTCGATTATTTGTACGATCAGTAAAAACGAATGAAATCATTGTCGCCAAACTTATAAAACGCGATAAAATATCCGTGTATTAGATAGATATCAATATTAAGTCAATTTATATGACTTCCGATCGAAACGAAGAGGAATTTTTATAATTATATTTGTCGCTGTTTAGAATGTACAATTATTAATACAATTGCTGTCCAACTTCTCACCTCGTGAGGACCATGTTCTTCTAAATTTTGTTTTCACGTAGGTGCCAAAACGAAAATATTGTATATTGAACGATAAATAGAAATAGAAGTTTAACGAAGAAATTGTTGAATTTAAAATGGAAATATTAGAGAAGACGTAACGTTTTAAAAGTATATGTATATGTATATATCGTCACACAACAGGGTGAGTTGTCTAACACTGGAACTGCAAATATCCATATTTTTCTCGATGACGGAGGAAAAGAAATCGAGAAAGGAAATTTTCGTTTTAAAAATGCATGCACTATATAGAATTTTCAGAGTTTCAAAGGCACTTAAGTTTTTTCAAGTTACGTGCGTTTCCTTCTTCGATTTTTTTTTTTAGTATCATCAGGTTTAAAAGAAAAGTTGAAACACTTGCAATTCCAGTCCTATACGACTCATGTTCTGTATATGTATGTATCGCCTAGATGAAAATGGCTATAAACAATTGTACCTTGGGATACATTAGTTGGACAGCTCCGATCGAATCCATAGATAGAAAGATTGTTATTACTTAATAGCAATGTTCTATACTTGTCACTGCCACAGTTGCTAGATAATTAGTGAAAGTTTCATCGTAAAATGATACGATAGTAAGGAAGGGATTGCTTCGAACATAAGTTCCATAATTCGTTTTTAAAGGTATTTTAATTAACGCAATCGAGTCGCGAATAGTCCACTGTTTTCGAATGTAATTTAAGAAAATGAATTTTATTCGTACGGTAATCGTTTCGCAATTTTATTGCTAATTAGCGATCCTGATTAATCGTAACTGTAACATAATCGCGTTCGTCACGTTGGATACTTCGATACGATCGACTTTGAAACATTCTTCCTGCATAACGAAGGATCGTAGCTTACTATAAAATTTATTTAGACTTCGATTTACACTTGAATCATTAGCGTAATTTAAATTAATGACGTGAAGGCTCACTCTCGAGTTCGAATTAAATTCTTTCTTGACTAGATTAAGTACAAGTCGTTCTTGTGTAACTTGTTTAATGTTCTATTCTCTAGATTTTTTTTTAGACGTTTCCTGATTCGCTAATTTTATACTGTCGGGACATAACACACGAAATGTAGCTTAGGTTGAAATAAAAACACTTCCGTTTTTTAACAAAATAGTTCGATAAATTATTGATTAATAAGACTTCGAATTGTATGCAGACAATCTCTGAAAATGTTCATTAGGAGAGTCTCTCTGGTAGAAAATTAAAAAAATACGATTTTCCGAGAATGTTTAGTAAGTTGTTTAACGATAAAAGCGTTGTTTCGTTGACAGTATTCAGCATTCCGGTTTCACGCAAGAACGAACAATCCTTATGTATTTTTGATAAATTGTTTAGAGAATCCTTTCTACGAGGGCGTTTTGAGATTAGTTTCGTACAAAGTGGTTTTTAAATAGCGAGAGATTTGACTAATATTACAGGGAAAAATTGTCTCCTTTGACGTGTGCCTGCTAATAGTCGGATTAAAATTCATTGTTGTTCATGATCATTTAGCGGGTGTCCCCTCCACAAAGTTTTATTATCTTCTTGTTCTTTGTCATTTAAACAGTCGGTGCCTCTTATTATTTAGCAATTGCTTCGTACGATACTCGTCTCAAGATAATTCTGTATGTCATAGAGTTTCTATTAGCAGCTGTTATGTATCTAAAAGACTTCTAACTTCCGTGCGTAGACGTGGTCCAGGCAACTGGAGGTACTTATGCACAATTACGATTGTACAGTCACATACTTAATATTGCACAGTGCAATTGTTTACCTTCCCGCGCGAAAAGGTGCACGGCGAAGGAAGCGCAACTTTCAACAGGAAGGTGCAGGTCGATTGTTGACCGTTGTTTACGACAATAGCGATCGTTCGTGTAATCATAATTTTAAGCTAGTCACAGTTTTCGAATAGTCACACAGTGTAGTATGCCGCGACAGCGTTTACGATTCGAGCCTCTCGGACAGATGTTGCTTGTCAGACTATTTTTATCAGAGATTTATTTAAATCTAAATTTTATCAGAGATTTTTAATGTTAAAAATCACAATAACACGAAAGTAATCTACAAATCGTGTAAAATTTATTTGTCTCTTTGATCGTTGATTACGATTTCTTGCGAAACGCTTGTTCGTGTTGCACGGAACAAAGTAGATGAGGAAAGTTGAGATCAGCCAGAGCAAACGAGTGTCTGACCATAAGAGGAACAAAACTACTCGATCTTTGGACAGACATCTTATTTATGAACTTTGGGCGAAAACGAGTTATTCTTTTCGTAATTGATTAATGAAGTAACCATAAGAAGAAGATACGTCGTTATTTTACTTCTCAATTCAGTTCATAACTTATATCGAATAAACAAATGGTTTACGACCTACTCTCATTAGGATTTCTTTTTGTTAATTTTGAGGTTTGGAATGCCTGTAAATTTTTTGATTGATCTCTGGATTGATCTGTTAAAACTATATTTGATCGAACGCTCGAATCGCAACGCGATCGCGTCGCGAAATAGAGTCTGCATGCGTATCGAATTATTGGCGTATTACGAAATTAATTTGAAGCGAAATAGAGAAAGAAAAAGTCGTGGACTGGGCCACGCGAGACTAACCGTACGTATTTTTAAACAGACTAGCACACGCTTTGTTTGCCATTTTATAACAGACGTTCGATGATAATCTTTCCGCGTAATCGCGTCGATGTAATAGAGTTCTCCTTAGTTTATAAGGCAGCTTTCGCTAGCTATTAGGGAAAATCGTAATCGATATTTCGTAAGAACGCATTATGATCAATAACTTGTCTCTTCGTTCCCCCCCCCCACCCGTAATTCGTTCGAGTATTTGATGGATGTCGCGTGGAATTTTGTATCGGAGCGTGTTTTCACGGAACGCGCGAAAGCGAAATAATGGAAGTGAAGGGAACAGAGTATGTATAGAATAGAAACATGGAAGCATTCGATCAGAGATTAAATTTAAAATACTCCGTACCATGACATACCCGTAGCGAACGTTCGCAAGAATAGGCGATACTCGATGTATCGAAGCGTATCGAGGGTAAACCGAAACCGCACATGTCCGATATACGAACTATATAAATGTGAAATTGTACAATATACAAATGCATCGGAAATTTGTATGAAATCGTTGAGAAAATAATAAAGTGATTGCTTCTTTTTATTGGATACCGCCCTCTCGCCAAGTAACATTGAAGTTTCTGAATTAAACGGAGAAGTCTCTGTAAATTCCATATAAACACGCGAGAGTCAATAAGTAAAAAAAACCAACGAGGGACTAATGCTTCGTTTTAAACTGAAGTAAATAAAAGAAGACATGTTCTAAACTTTAAATCGTGGAGAAAATAGTAAAGTGACTTCTTCTGTTTATTGGATACTACCCCTTTGCCAAGTAACATTCAAGTTTCTAAATTAAACGAAGAAGTCTTTGAAAATTCCATATAATCACGCGAGAGTCAATAAATAAAAAACTCAACGAAGGACTAATGCTTCGTTTTAAACTGAAGTAAATAAAAGAAGACATGTTCTAAACTTTAAATCGTGGAGAAAATAGTAAAGTGACTTCTTCTGTTTATTGGATACTACCCCTTTGCCAAGTAACATTCAAATTTCTGAATTAAACGAAGAAGTCTTTGAAAATTCCATATAAACACGCGAGAGTCAATAAGTAAACAAATCAACGAGGGACAAATGCATTGTTTCAAACTGAAGTAAATAAAAGAAGACATACTCTAAACTATACACATAAAATATATACACACGAGGTACAAGTATTGGACAATTTTAACATCACTCAAAGTGTGATAATTCAGGACCAAAAATCGTACATCAATTTTTGAGAGATTATTATAAAGACGAGGCCTTTCCCCTTCGATTTAACCGCAACACAAAACTGGAAAAAATTTATTATATTCTGTGAAGTCGCTTGGAGTTAAAATGAACCAAAAAAATGGCGTCTTCGAAAAGATTGAAATTCCTGATTTCGATCCAAATTACCGTGGAAATGATTGTTAACCTGAATTATATTATCGAGGAAAAACGATTATAATTATACTGGGGATCTCAAATCTTTGGTAAGCAAACTTACATAGATGCACTTACCTTTCCACGCTTTACACAAAGTTAAT